CACAGGCAGTAAACCCTGGGAACCTGAGGCCTCCAACTTCAGGAGAGTTGCCAGGCAGCTTTGCTGCAGTATTGTGAAAACTGAATTGCTTTTACAGTCTGTTTGGATTTCAATAAATTGACTTTCACTTACAGAAAATGTCCTGTTGGGGGATTTTCAGCCTATGCTATTAATACTGCAAGGGAAAAATAGAAAATAGACAAAAGGCAATGCTTTAACTCTCTGATGAGCAAAAGTATTTGATTTCATGACAGCACTTATGTGCAGGCTTTCCTTAAGATGCACATGCACTGGCAGAAAATGGGGCCCACCAGCTTTCATGAGGAGTTGTGAAAATATTTTATAATGACTAAAACTTGTAGGAGCAAAATTGGTTTGGCCTAGCCTGACTTCTTGCTACATTTTTAGTCCACCTCTATGACCTTAAACTGTATAGGACTTCCTGGAGAACTAATGCTTAACTAAGGAGAAATTGACTGAATACCTCAGTATGTGATATGTTTATAGCATACCTGAATATAATGCCCAGCTGTTTGTTAGGTGGATGATGAATACCTTGGAGAATGGGTAATTTATGACTTTACATTGGGTTTTGTTCCCCAGTTCACCTAGACAGAGTCTCCCAATTGAGGCTTTGAGGAAACAGGATTAAAGGGGAAGGAGGCTCTGGGCTTTACCCCACGTCTTTCTGATGTTGTGGCTACCCTACAGCATTTTGATTTTTTGAACTACCTAGGGGTACCTGATGTGTTATGGATCATTGGGAATCAATGGAGTGAGATCAATAGAAGAGGGAGTCCTGCTGGCAATGCATAGGAGCATGTGGTGGCTGGTGCGGGCTCAGAGGCTGCATTGTGCTGTAGGGTGTTGCAAACATGTGCAGTGCTGTCCATCACGCAGCGTGGTGGTTGTTAACAATCATAATGTTGTTTACACGGTGCCCAAAGGGTGCCAGGTGCAACAAATGTAACTTCCCAGAGACCTCAAGGCGAATCTATTGGAGTGAAGTGTTGGGGGAGTAGAGGAAGAGAGAGAAAAGAAGGAGAGGGCAAGAGAAACAAGCCAGAAGCCACAAAAATGACATAGAAAAAAAAAATTTGCTTTTATTTCTCATGTGCACAAAAAGAGAAAAGAAAAGACTCAAACAGAACTGAAGAGATGAGGAAAAGCCAAGAGGGGCTGCAGAAGCCTAGAATGGATGTGACCATGCACCTGGCACTGGCCCCCTCCCTCCCCGGGCTCATGTCTAGCTTAGCCTGGAGATCACCAGCAGAGCTGCTCTACGGTGACATTTGTTATCAGTTCTGTCATTGCTGGTTTGGTCTCTCCTTCCTGCTTTGCAAGTTTGCCACCATCCTGAGCTCAGCCAAGGAGCACTCTGTGGTATTTGTGGGTCCCTCAGAAGCCCTCACTCTGTCAGTGCCAAAGGGGCAGCTCAGCTATGATTCTTATTTCTTTTTCCAGAGGGGTGCTTTTCCTTGGAGACAAAAGGGTAACATTTTTCCAACAGTTCAGCAAAACAAAAATTCCTTCAGGAAAATGTTAATAAGCATATATAATTTTATACTGAAGAGAAGGAAGAGGTGCAGGGTTTTTTGCTTTCCTTTTCTTGTTTAACATCCTCACATTTATGTTGTGATTAATTCCAAAGTCTTACTCTGAGTTTGATTCATCGCTACTGATGGGTCAGACAGCATGCAAACTTCTCCCTGTTTCCACAGCAGGGCTCATTGCCACGAACTCTCCCCAAAAGATTTACAGGCCACAAGTGTCAGCTTTACTGCATCCACCTCATGCAATCCTCCCCACATCCCTTTCTGCCAAAAGGATGAGAGCTTCAGAGAGCAGGACTCAAAGGTACTGCCCAGTTTTGAATGCCATGGTCCCTGTTGTTTCCAGCCAAGCACAACATTTGAGATTTTGTGAGATTCTTCCCCCATGATCAAGTAGAGACAGAGGAGAGTCAGTCTCACAACATTTCTGCTTGGTCCATTAGATAAAGGAAATGTAGCAACAGAACTAAGAATGACCTGAGAAGAAGTGAAGGGAGAGCTAAGGAAGAAGAATAAAGAAACAAAGAATGATTTGTGTGAAAAAGGAAAACAGAGAAATGTCATGGAAACATTAATTATTATTCAAAATAATGCTTAAAATTTTGATAGAACTTTCTATCCAGAATCTCAAAGCACTGAGCCGGTGCTAATTAATTCAGCTATGCAATCCCCCTGTGAACTAGAAACTGTTGTTATTCCCATTTTACAGTGTTGGAATTGAGATGTGTGGGGAAGTTGGAGTTGACAAAGGTTTTTCTAAAGCCACAAGAAGAACTAGGGTGTTTGAGGTCCAGAAACCTGTTCTCATATCAGTAATGTTCTTCTCTCCCTGGATAGAAAAGTGCATTGGGAATGAGAAATAATAAAAGAAAGGGATAGAAATTGAATGGAAAGAGGGTATGAGAAAGAAATGTGAGAAAGGTAAGAGACAGCAGAATGGAGGAGAGATTTGTGTTATAGACTTCACTGGATTTTGCATAATGATTTCTTCCTACAATCCTTGTTATTTTTCCTGTAACACTTTTAAAAGGAAAATAATTAAAACCCCCCACCTATAGCAAAGCAGCTGTTGGCCTGTTGGGGAAAGGGTCCTTACAAGGTTTAGCTGTTCCCTCAAGTTCTGGATTTGTGCTGTGCTTTATTGAACACATTGTTTTGTTTTCAGTGAGCACGAGACTTGCACGGTACACACAGCGTGTTCCTTATCTACAGGATGAGACGAGGCTGTTTTAATAACTACCATGATGATGATGGAGATGAACTTATATACAAGAGGAATTGCCTTCACATTACACACATTATCTTCCTACAAAGCAGCAATTGTTTTTTGCAAATAACATAATATTAAATAATTGGTAGAATTTTTGCGTTTCCTGCATAGTCCAGTCTAATGGAATCTAGATGAATATTGATGGTTTTCTTCTGCATAATATCACCACATAAATCCCCATGTCAGCTACTAGACTTGGGCTATAATACTGCTTTACAATGCATCCACCGACTGTAAATCAAAACAACCAACACAAGAAACTCTTTGGCAAATGTAATTCAGTACATTCGCATGAGGGTCTACAGATGGTGGGAAGAGGATTAGACTGCCCAGTCCTTTGAATAATTCTGCTTTCCTTTGAATTTTCCTGGTCAAACTATATGCTGTACTTATGAACTTTCAGACCAATCCAATGCCTAGTGGAAATCCTCTTTTACCAGTGGAATTAAACCAACAATAGATTTGGCCTTCCAAGAGTCAAATCAAGCCAGCCGTGAGTGAGACAGCTAAGTCCTGCTTTCAGACTCTAGCTCACGTCCTCAAGTTTAGTGAAACACCATTAGAAAAATAAGCATTTCTGAGCTTCTGGCTTCTCTCAGCCTGGGCCCTGGGCTGCAGGTGGCCGCATGTGAGGTGTGACAGTCTCCTTTTCTCTAGCTTCCTCAGGAGCTTCTCTTTGCTGGTCCTGGGATTTCTTGCCTCTGCACTGACTACCTGCTGGGTGAATCTGTGTGGTGCACAAGTAGAGCAGAGGTTGTACTGAGAGACTAAAAGAGAGACCATTCTAACAGTGTTCAGCATCTGTCTGGTGTCTGTGAAGGAAAACAGAAGGAGTGGTGAAAGCAATTGTTTAGAAATTGAACAGAATTTTTTCTCTCATAGTGTAGGCTCAGACAACAGGCCAAATTCTGGTTGTGGTGACAGTGTTACCACTCCGCTATTTGCAGCAGGTTACTCAGAGGTAAGTTGTGCAGAATGACACTTTTAATAGATCAGAAGTAACCTCTTGGATTTTATTCTGTACAGGAACAGATTTTAGCTCTATATCTTCTATGTAAATGTCCCCCAAATACCCTTATCATTTGGGCACCCCATTAAAGAAGACACAGACCTATGATCAGCTAAAGCCATGCAAAGGCTGAAAAAGTTAGGTGAAAGGGCCCTTTGGGATCAACACAGCTGTTTACTGATGGTGGATTTCATACATACAAGTTAAACTTGGAGACAGAATACCGAGTCCACTACCACATCTCCTCAGAGGCTTGGAACTTTGGATTTTATACATGATGTTGGCTGTAGAGATTGCTCCACTGTTCGCTTTTATGCCCTTCGGGGGTTTTATTCTCAATCCTGTCTTTGTCCATGGACAATAGCCCACGAGTTTTATCTGAAACCTCTCTAAAACAACAAGGATCTACTTTGGCAGACTTGGTGCCCTGGGGACAGGCTATAGCTGCCTTCATGTTTTCTTTGAGCAATTTTGAGGAAGTGTCAGTGCAAGGAACAGTTTATGAGTTTGCTGACAATACAGGATAATAAGCATTTCTATTGACATTTAGCCTTTTGCAGAACAGTGTTTGTCCGTCACTTGGGAACCAAAATGAGCAGAGAATCCCTTGAGAATCATCAGGTGAGCATTTGGGATAAGGGGTAAATAGTAGGGTGCACAATACAGGATTGAAAATGAAAAGATGGGGCTGTATATTGGGTCTGGCTGGTAGTATGCAAGCATATGGATTTGAATGGGGGCCTATAAATTAGTAGGTGTATGAGCAGATGGATGGGGAATCGAAGGGGGGCCCATATAGCAGGGCTGTAATGGTTAGGAAATTAGGTGTCGGGCACAGATAATGAGGTGGTTGTCACCAGCAGTGGAGATCTGGAGAATGGGTGTTGGGCATATCTAAAATTGCAAAAGTTGGGATGTGGGTGAATTGAAGTCATCACAGGTACAGAGTTTAAGGTAAAAGGACTGAAGGCTAAGGACTAGGGAACCAAGCAATTATCCCAGCCAATCCTGAATTTGTCCATCTCAGTCTCAGCTGTCCAGAGGGCAATCAGATGGGCCCACATGAAGCCCCACACTTTCCACCACACAGCACAGTGAGAGCGCAGCTGGGCTTGTTTTCTTTGTTTGCCAACCAGTGACATGGAAAACGTTTGTTGCCTCAGAGTGCTTTTTTTTTTTTTTTTTTGTCGACTGATGCATTTGGTAACTTTGTCAGATGTGACTTGTCCACACTGCTCCCCAGAGACAGGATTTGGGAAAGGAGGGGGAGGAGGAGGCGACCGGGTGGAGCTGGCATCCAATCCTCTCCAATACCATCATCCCATTGTAGTGCAAAAGAGAAAGGAAACAAAACCCTAGAGTGAAAAGAGGAGCATCAAACGTCAGAGGAACTCGTCTGCCATTCAGGTGGTGGGGAGATGGGACTTGGAGTTTTATTTTTGTAGGGTTTTTTAATTATTATTTTGGTTTTTTTGTTGATTTTGTTTGCTTGGGTTTTTTTAGAAATTGGGGATTTTTTTTGTTCCTTTTTACAGACCTTCATGACAAAGCATAAAAACACAGTTATATTTATAGATCTATTTATATATTTCTTCATTTCGTTGGTTTGTTTGTAAATGTTGCTCCATCCTCCTGTCTGAGCTGATTGTGTGTCACAGAAATTGTGGGTGTATGTTTGAGGTTCCTCCCAACTCTGGCCTGCAAAGTCACCACCCGTGAGGTGCAGCCAGCTCTGGGGGAGTCCATGCTGGAAAGTGGGATGAGGTGCACAGAGAACCCTCATGGGGTGCAGATCTTTACTTGGTCCTTTCTTCATTTGCCAGATGGGCCAGGTGCTGCCATCTCTGCTCTAGCCAGACTGTTCCCTCTGTCCAGGGAAACAGGATGAGCATCACAGGTTACACACACTCAAGAGTCCACCACAGAAGAGTATATCTTTGGGGAACAGTGTTTCACAAGCGGCGTTCTCCCCTGCTTCCCTGGCCCTTACCGCTCCCAGAAAGGGGTCCTGTAAGGCAATGGTTGCCAGCTGCATGCCTCCCCAGTCCCCCTGGAGTCCTGGAAGCCAAGGGGATTTTGCATGGCTGAGCTGTACCCAGGGGTGTTGGAGGGCTCCTGCAGGGGAAGCCACTTGGCCGCACGCTGTTTCTGGCGGGGGCGGAGGGCAGGGGGAACGAAGGGGTCTCAGTCTCATGTGGTGAGCGCTTGGTCCGGCACCTTCGTGGCGAAGAGGAAGGAACTGGACTGTGTGGAGGAACGGAGAAGGTCTCTTCACCCTTCCCAGGGATGGAGGGAGGTGATCAGACAGGTACAATGTGGAGGCCTAAGCTGTCGCCCTGCAGTTTCATGTGGTTTCCATGGTAACTAGTGGCGGTCATAGGCAGCGGCAGCAGTGGGAGGTGCGGAGCCCCGGGATGTGGCACTATAATAATAAGGGGAACCTGAAAGTTAACACAGGAGAAGAATGGACTGGTTGAAAGGACAAACAGTAAACAAAAAAAAAAACCAAAACAAAACAAAAAACAGAAACAATCAAACTAAGAAAAGAAATTAAGGACAACTGAAAACAAAAAGAAAGGTAGAAAGAAAGAAAAGCAAAAGAACCAAAAGAACTTGGAGACTGAGCTCCTAATGGGATTAGGGAAAGGCAATCAGTGGAAGCCAACTGAGGGCCACACTTCAGTCGATAGATGCTACCATGGCCTCTTGATAGGACTTTCCTCTATGGGAAAGAGATCTTTTTGCATCCTCTGACAATCAGTAAGTAAGCCCATGAGCATTTGAGCTGGTCTTGGCTGGGTAGAGTTAGTTTTCTTCACAGTGGCTGGTAAGTGGCTGTGTTTTGGATTTGTACTGAGCACAGGGTTGATAGTACAGAGGGGTTTTTGTTATTGCTGAACAGGGCTTACACAAAGCCAAGGCTTTTTTGCTTCTCATACTGCCATGCAGCAGTGAGAAGTCTGGGAGTGCATGGGAGTGCATGGGAGGCTGGGAGGAGACACAGCTGGGATAGATGACCTGAACTGGCCAAAGGGATATTCCAGACCAGAAAAGATCCTGGTCACTATGTGAGGGCAGGGAAGGAAGGAGGAAAAGGAGATGTTTGGAGTGACACTGTTTGTCTTCCCAAGTAACCATTGTGCATAATGGGGCTCTGCTCTCCTGGGGATGGCTGAACACCTGCCTGCCCACGGGAAGGAGTGACTTCATTCCTTGTTGTGCTGAGCTTATGTGTGTGGCTTTTGTTTTCCCTGTTAAACTGTCTGTATCTCAGCCCAGGAGTTTTCTAGTTCTTATCCTTCCAATTCTCTCCCTGATCCTCCTGGTGGGGGAATGAATGAGTGGCTGCGTGGGGCTTGGCTAATGCCTGGGGCTAAACCACAACAAACATTGCAGCACGATATGCCACACCTGATCTGTAGCCACAAATAAAGTGTCAGGGCCAGATGTTCTGGGTGCATCTGACAAAGTGACTTTAAAACCAGTAGGGGAGAAATGAAACAAAATTACAGTGTTTTATTAATTGGGATTTGGGTCACAATTGGCATGAAAGCTCTTTAGATGGTTATTGAATGTGTGTTAAATTGTGATTGATTATTAAGATCACATTTACTGAAGTTTAACAGCACTGGAATAAAATGTGCATCTATTATCCAGTTGTTAAACCTCAGTAAATACATAGGTAATCACAACTGATTTATTTTACATATAATAAATCTCTTCCTATTCCCCTGCAAAGAAATGTTGTATTAAAAGCTAAAGTCTCATAGGAGTTTATTCCCCCACTGAAAAAAACCCTGACTCTTTCTGAGCGTATCAGTGACTGGAGATGGATATATATCCCTGTAAGAGAACTCTACTGGCTATTATAAATCTTGTGATACAGCCTGTCTCCCACTCTAGACATTAGTCCAACTGGTCCAGTAGGAAGAAATTCTATGGGATTTAAAGATTTCCCAACAATTGACTCTGGATTTAGCCTGGGAGAGGAATGAAACCTTATCTGATTTTTTAACCAGGCCTTGAAAGTCTGCTGCTTGTGGCCTAAGAGTAGCAGAACCTAAATTTTTACTTTTGATATAATTTAGAATAAACTGTGGATGCAGCCCACGGAGAAGCCAGAGCTGAACTCGAGTTCTGAACTGTCTCATGAAAGAGGAATCTGCTTCAGAACCGATACAAAATATGCATGAGGTACATTTCAAACTGGACTGGAGAGTGAGGAAAAAGGCCTCTCACCTGCCCAACTACTTGAAACCACTTTTCAGAAACAAACAAACAAACAAAAACCCAAAGAGAACAAAGAAAAGAAAACAAAGAGACAAACAGAAGGAGCGCGAGGCTGGGGGTGTGCTGTGGGAAAGAGGTACTCACTTAGTAATGCAGGGTTGCTGAACCGCCAGGCCTCGTTGTAGGTCGTGTACTGAGGGTGGCTGTAGGGATTCCCTGAGAACTCGCTCCCTGGAAGAAACCAAGGAAGGTGTGAAATATAGTAAGGAATAAAGATTAATGTCTGCTATTCCATCAGGACAGTGTTCATGCTGAATCCATTTGCCAGCAGGAAAACTGGTGTATGTAGCTTCCTTGCTTAGCTGGAACTCTTCCCTTCAAGACACTTCCGTGCCTGTTCAGTGCAAAATTGCTTACCCATACCATTAAGCATCACAAGATTGACTTCTTCACAATCAAGAAATCAGTTAAAATTCACTAATACAAATAAATTATTTAATTGGGATGGGTTTTTTCCCTTTTTTTTATTGCCTTCTGTCTTCCAATTCTCAAGCTGCAGTAGGACAGCATATGCAAGCTTTTATGCCTTTAATTATCAGCTTTCTTATTAATAACATCAAAGGTTCTCCAGCAGTGTCAAGACAACAGGCATGGAAGGTTAATGGGACAAGCTCACAAGAAACTCTATGGAACTAGCAGTGCTGTTGATAGCAATATGTATTGCTAAATTTTTTTATTAGGGTGCTGAGGGTGATGGCATATTTGTGGAGAAGAGTATCATTCATTTTTGGAAATGTTCTGAGTTGGCTGTGACTAAATACAAAACAAAATGGAAAATACATGAATCACTTTCTTTCTTACTCTGGATGACGGTATTAGTCAGAAAAGTGATTCATACATGATTAACCTCTCTTTTATGCTTAGTTAGTGAATTATAGAGAAAGCTTGCTGCATTCTAGCTCTGGAAAATGTTTTTCTAATGATTAGCACTTTAGGTACTGTGCTGAATCTGAACGACAAGTTGTGCTACAGCTCTCTTTTTCACATTAGGAAAATGGGCCCAAACCAAAATACTTCCAAATTTTGTGACCTAGTAAGACTATGAACCAAGATCTGAATGGTGCAGAGTCTTCTAAAACATTCAGTTTTATTGTGCAGAAGGAGCTGAGTCTCCTTGTTTCTTAGAAGGCTGTGCAGGGTGTTTGGTAACCAAAGGGGTCTGGTGCTGCATTCGAAATAAACAAATCTCCCCAAACTTAAACATGTATGCTTCTATTATGGAAAATCATTATATGATCTGATCATAAGCTCAATTTAATGTAGTATCAACAAACTGTGGACAATTAAGGCTGTCTGAAAGGCCTTATGTGCTTAAAAGGCAGGGGAAGAATAGTGTAGGTATTAGCTTCTAGTCTGCCCAAAGGCAGAGGTGGAATTGTTACGACAGAAGTGTTTGAGAAGCACCTGGCAGTCCTTGCTAGATACCATGGAACAGGAAAAGAAGGTAATGCAAGATGGAATGGATGCCTGTAATATAATTACCAAAGAATGTCAATTAATTATGGCATAATCTCTGCAAATCTCCTCTCCCTGGATTGTTAAAACCGCAGATTCTTAGATGGTGGAAATGAAGTCTGTTCAAGTTAGGGGATTTGTACTGCTTAAAACTTGAGGAAAATCATTCCAGCAAGGTTTTTTGAGGTACTCAGGGTGATAACCAAAGTAGTCAGTGCAAAAATGAGTATGAATCCAACCAAATAATCATCCAAGGGTATTAGTCACAGTAGCTTTTAGTTTCAGTATAAAACCTCATTTTTTTTTGAGAGATCTTGCTAACTACTGTTTTAATGATGATAACTCAGCATAATTTCATAGCTAGAAACATCCTGCATGGAAATTCTGACAACTAGCTGGGAAGGAATAGGTGAAACTTGTGAAGATGACCGATGCACAGTACAGATTTTTCTCTATTGAATTGTCTTATCTGTGGAATATGGTGGAATTGGTTTGCTTCCCAAAGAAGGAGAAGAAAAACTATCCTCATGAAAATTTCTGCTTTTGAAGTGCTTCATATGACATAGCTTTACTGTATGGAGAGAAATTGTTCTGATATTTCAAGACTTTTCTCTCACTCCCTGCTGAGTTGACACCCTAAACTGTTTATAGTGTTGCTAAAGCATGGGTTAAGCGCAGGAGAAAGAGCCACAGCTATGGAGCGCAGGGAGGAGGGAGGGCAGCCACTGGAAACAGTGTTTATTGACGAGGAGTGAAAGCATGCATGCAGCAGGATAATGAGCTTTTGAGCTCAACTGTGACCAAGAGGAACTGAGCTATCGCCTTCCCCGATCACTAATGAAACAAGTGTAATTTCCTCATCAACATTGGATTCTGTTTAACGACTCCCTGCCGCTGCCGTCCCCAGCCCTCTGCAGGCTCTGCACTGCTCTGTGTAAACTCCAGTTCCTTCAGTGGATGCTGACTTCGCTAAAACAGTTTGCAGAAACTTGATGTCCTTTCTGGGAAAGAGGAAGAGTTGAGACAGGGATCAAAGGTATTCTGTACCTTTGTGGGAAACTTCTCTCAGATATGTAGGTCAAGTGTAGCCAAGACCTGATTCATCTGTCTGTGAGTGACTAACCCCTGCTTTTCCAAGTGTGTGCTCAGGACCATTGGCCTTTGTCCATGTTTACAGCCTGGGACCTGAAGTTACAGGAAGGGCAAATGCAGGAATATGTATCCTGTCACATCATTTGCATAAACCTCAGGGGCATTTGCATTTGCTGCCCATGTGGCACGAATGTAGTGCTACAGGAGACAAGCTTTTCTTTAGACTGTGTGAGTCTAGTGAAAGGTTGTCATGGGTAGGAAATAGCAGCTTTGATTAGCACTGGTTAAGCAATCTTCTCAGAAACAGTTTTCCTCTGGAAAATGCTGTCTCATTGAAATGGAAATGTTTTGCTCAAGCTTGTCAGCTTCAATAGAGTTTTGGAAAGAAAAGTTCTGAAGTTATTGCAAATTGAAACAAAGTATTATGTTTCAACTTTCTTGTTTTGTTTCATTTTGCCTTTCTCATTTAATTTAATTTCCTTTCAGTTCTTTCATTATTTTAATATGTCTTGACATCTAGAACATGTTGATGTTATTGAAATGTTTCATCGTGATGTTTGCAAACTGAACTATTGCAAGGTTCTGACTCCTCATACCAATGCAAGATGAAAGCAAGTATCGAGGAGTCAAAATTTTGAATGGGTTAGAAATCTGATTTCTGAACAGTCGTGTGTTTAGCTCTGCACCTTTGTTAAAAGAAGACAGAGCCTCCTTCCCATGTTTTCTCACATCTGGACAATAGGTTTGTTTGCATGTTAGTATGTTTCTCAGAGATACTTCCTGAGTAGTCATCTTGCCGGCTTCTTGTTTCGGGTGTAGTTAAAGCACTGGCTCCTGAACTTTCTTTGCATGAGGCCACATAACAAACCATTGGCATCATTGTATTTGATTGTTCAAACTGGACTCCTAACAGAGGTTGCAAGTCAGCACAGAGGATTGATCTCAGGAGGCCTATATTCTGTGCAATCTGTGTTCAGGGAATCTTCACTAACACTATTTCTCAGTATCTGTATTTAAATCTTATTGGTTTAGTCTTCTAATACAGAAATGATGAGGCATGAAGTGAGCCTAGCAGGTGGCAGGTTCAGAAAAAATAAGGGATATAGTTTTCACAAAATATGTAGTTTAGCTATAGAATTTCTTGCAACAGGTTTCTGTGCATGTTAAAGGCTTATATGGGCACAGGAGACATTTTTTACATTTGTAGAGGACAAACCTACCAAGGATTTAATAGAAAGAAGTCTGGCTTAAAATGTTTCTTAGCTGCAACATGAAGGCTGGGAGATCTTTCAAGAAAGTACCAATACAGGCTTGCTCTACTCTTACGCCCTTCCTTATATTTCCCCTGTTGGCCCCGACACAAAGTAGTGGCTGCAGAGATCTGCAGAGTGACCCATTAAAGCAAAATCTTCTGTTTCTTCCCAGGAAACCTCTTTATCTCCATCTTGTTGGCTTCAGTCACACTAGAAAACAGGAAGTAAAAGGCTTCCTGGCTGGGTCTGACCAGTGGGGTATGACAGAAACAGCCAGAATCTGGTGTTCTGTTGAAAGATGCAGTAACTACTGCAGGATACCCAAGCAGGCTACTGGAAAAAAACTCCCTCTGATTAAATGTTGACATCAGATTTAATGTGAAGATATCCATTTGACCAGAATAATTTTCTTAACTTTGAAGTATAACAACTTTTTTTTAAAATGTATAATTCTGTTCCTTTTCTTTCAGGGAATATTTCTGGGTTGTTTTTTGGTTTTTGGTTGCTTTTTTTTGTTGTTTTTTTTTTTTTGGACACTACTGTCTTATATACAGCCTCCACATCAAGGAGCTGAAATACCTTATTCTTAGATAAATGACCCCTGATATTAGTGGTCTTAAAATTTTTGTCCCAGTTTAGAAGTTAGCATCATCCTTGTCAGGAGGACATTAAACTTGGGTAGCAATCACTGAACAGTTTTTACTCAAAGAGCCAGCTATTTTGATATTATTAATTTTTATATGCTGTGCCCTCCTGTAAGTTTTGACCATAAATGATCTTAAATATTGTCAACTGAATTTACCTTCTGTTACTGGGGGAAGTTGTGTGGGAGGTGTTAATTGATTTTATATTGTCTCAGGGCATGTCTGATTCTGGAGCCAAACCACCTTCCTGAATAATTTAGTGTAGAACATGCCCTAAAATTTGCCACTAGAATAGGCTGCCTGAGTAGTTGTGGATACCCAGTCCCTGAAAGTGTTCAAGGTCAGGCTGGAATGGGCTTTGCACACCCTGTAAAGATGTCCACCCATGACAGGGTGTTTGGAACTAGGTGACCTTTAAGGTCCCTTTCAACTCAGGCAATTCTATGATTTGTCACTTTAAGATGTGAAGACTTTCACCTGAAAACATTTCCTAAGAACAATATTTTCACTGTCCTCACTGATGTTAATGTTCATTTAGCTGTCTGTTCTGAGATCTGGGTGAGGGTTAAGTTAGGCTTTCCCCTTGTGAGCCCTGCCAAATCAGATGATGGTAATTTAAGAGCTTTCTGTCCTCAACTTGTTGCTGCTTCAGTTCTGGACTCATCTCTTCAGAAGCAGAGGCTGCAGAATGGGCTGTGTACCTGCCACTTAATCATCACAGATCACAACCATGGGCCATAAAAAGCAGAAATCAGTGGGCAGATGAGTTCTGAGCTACCATGTCTGAGAAAAGAAAATCCTGCCTCTTCATTTATCTACTGGGGACAACTGTCATTAGAGGAGAGTGGGTAATAGAGCCTGAGGTAATAAACTCTTCAATTGTCTGCTGAAAGAGTGGGAGTATACATATGCTGAGATAAGGTATTTCTCCAAAACATTGGGTATCAAAGAAAGAGTTTGTCTTTGGATGTAGGATTAGGTTGGTAATTTCTTGGATTGAAGGCACTATTTTACAAACAGGAGGCGGTTAAGTAGTTGGTTGCTAAGAGTGAATAATTAGTTTCTAGTGAAATGCTGTTAATAATTTCTGAGTTTTTAGTAAATTTAGGCTATATAGACAGTAGGTCTTCAAATACTGTAGGTATTAAATTGCCATTGATAATTTTCAGCTTGATGGCCATGGATTTAGACAGAAGGTGAGTTGTCACCCTTAGTTAGTGGATAGGTGAGTATCTTGAGCCATGAGCAGTACATAATAATCTGCATGGGTCATTGGAAAATAATTACATTAGTTAATGAATACTAGGGTTAATTAATTACCAATTAATTGCCACAGGTTATAGCTAGCTAGCTGCCCATAGCAGCAGTGAATCAGTTACTAGGGGGAAAGAGATACATTACAAAAAGGGTTGTTAGCTGCATTGGTTATAGGCTCCTGATGGTTTCTTTATGAAAAAATAGCTCTTCATGTCAGCAAAGCAATAGCCAAGCCAGCTGTGAAAGCTCTCACAATGCTGGTAAGCATTCAGACATGTGTGCACCATTACCGAGGGCTGGCAGCTGACTTACCAGGAACCATTCCTGCAAGAGTTGATGTTGGGTAGCTGCCTTGTCCAGTTGGAGGAACATGGGGTGGGTAGCCAGGCAAGGTGGTGCTTGCCATATCACGACCTGGAAAGGGAGAGAATCAGGACAGGTCATCAATACAGATAAGATCTTTCAATATTGATTTGGTATCACCTCTTGTCCCACTGTCATACAACTTGATAGGCAACTACTGCACAGCTTTCTCTTACATGAGTTCTGTCTACCCACTGAAAATTTTGGGTGAAGATTGGGGCACTTTTGATCTCACACTGTAAGATGGATGTTAAAACTTAGCTTTGATGAGGCTCAAAAGAATTTGGTTTGATTTTGGATCTATTTTAACTAAATCAAAATGGCCCTGATCTGCACAGAGAATGGCAGCATATTCATTGCCAGAGTAGCTGAGGTCCTGTCTATATGCAGTGGATGTGGTTCCAAAACCATGGTGATGTTGCTTTAGGGCATGATCAATGCAAGGCACTGGGAAGTGATCCAAGAGTTTTCTGTGCCTGTTTCTCTTCCCACCTTTGCCATTCACCTGCATATGGTTTTAGGCAAGTCACTTTACCTCTCTGTGCTTCTTTTTGTGCTGCAAACTCTTTGGTGCAAGAGCACACTTTGAGTACATTTGCACAGAGCTTAGCATGAGACCAATAATGGTTGGACTCCTTCCAGGTGCTGGTGTACTATATATAATAATAGCATCATGCAAATTAGTTTGAGTCTCACTTCATTTTTCACAGGTACAAGTTTTTGTTTGCAATACTTTAAGTGGTGGTAACTTTTAATCTCCGAAGAAGTAGAGAGGGGTGTGGACTAGGTGTATGATTGCAGTTTATTTTTCCTCTCTTAGGAAGTGCAGCTGGGGGTTTCTTGGTTGATGCCAGAGGCATTTCCTCATTTGGACTGGTTAGCCTGAAAATGGGCCAGCCAGAAGGGCATTTGCTGTTAGTGCTTATTGCATTTAAATGAACTAAAATAATCTCAGAAGCTGCTGGGAGTTTCAAGCCAAAGCAAAACAAAACAAACAAAGAAAAATAAAACAAAACAAAAAGCTAAATAAATTAAGATAATCTTTTCCCCACAGCTGCTGAGAGATTTACAGCTCAACCTCCAACACTGCCTACTGAGATGTCAGCCTGTTCCAGGCATCAAAAGCCTTTCACATTCCCTAGGTGAACTATAGCTCACCAAGAAGTTTGTGCTATTGGTTGTTCTTTTGTTTAATTTTGTCTCTCCTGGCAAGAGCCTGATTCACCTTTAGGAGTGACTGGCTAAGTAAAGCCCATTTACACCGCTGGAGTCACCGGAACCATGCTGGGATATGCCAATGCAAGAAGAAGCATTGGTTTAGCTCTACTACCAGCAGAATGATAACTGATAAAAGCAGGCCCTGGAACAAGCATGAACCTTGGCTGGGAATCAGAAATAATTAACAGTTACAAGGCAAAGCAAAAACTAATAAGCATGGAACATTAACCTGAAGGGAGGAAGTTTCTCTGGGATGAGGTAGGCTAAACCAGTGTCATTGCTTTCACAGGTCTCGAGTAAGGATTACTGAGGTGATTTACTCAAGAAAACAGAAATGCAAGTTCATTCTTTCTTCCAGAGGAGGTTCCCTATCAGTGGCTGAAGTTCCTAGCTTATGTCCTGTTGGACAACAGCTGAGCCATTTTCCAGCCACTCCCCAATACTGATAAAAATAAATACATAATGTATCAGGGATTAATATTCAGCACTCTTTTACTCTTTTATCACCATCATTCCTTCAGTGACTTGTAGGTGTATGTTAAACCATATGAATAACGCTTAGTAGATGTAGTAATTTTTTTCTCACTTTGGTTTAAGGCAAGGAACTTTTATGCTTAAAATTCTTGTTCTTTTAGTTTCATTTATTGACTAACCTGAGAAATAACAAGTGATGAGTGAGAAAACAGTGTCACTGAAAAGTCAGAGATAACATTATCTAGCTGCAGGCAAAATTAATTCATTTTGACACTTTCATTCAGGTGGGATCACATATACACTCATTCTACTACTTGATGTGTGCACATATCCCCCTGTGTTTTTATTCAGACATGAGCACACAGAGGTTGATGTTCAAAACTGAGCATGGAAAATTTGTTGGGAAGTGATCATTTGTCAGAATCCCAGTCTTGAAAAAAGAAGATAACGAGCAAGTACTGCATCAGTAACATCAGTAAGAGTCCCACAGAGAAACTCTTAAAATGCTGTTACATACAAACAGGCCCCTTCCGTTGCAAAAAGGTAGGCAGGATTATTAAATTCTTGTATTGCAGGGCTATGGCAAAGCTAGCTCATAACATGCTTCCAACTGCAGCCTTTCTTCTTCCTGCAAGAACTTTCTGAGTGAGGAACAGCACCTGAATCATTATGACATTGTGCTTTTGAACACTTTGTCCCATGTCTAATTCCCTATAAGAGTCTTAAGGCATTTGCCTCTCAAGAAATACAGTGCCTTCCAGGCTAGAAGATGGTCATATATAACAATATCCCCAGATATCTCTACTGTTGGAACCACTTCTTGGCTTAGGAAGTGCCCAGAACTCAGAGGCTCTTACTGGCTGCAGTAAGGTAGAAGCAAGATGGTCTAATGACCATAAGCCTTCTCCCTGCTGTTACTTGCTGTTTTCCTACGTGGGGGTTTAGAAATGGAAATGTCACGTGACAAGACAAAGGAAGGATATTAAGTCAAAAGAGAAAAATAATATAGGACCATGAAGGAGGCAGAAGCAAGATATGTTTCTTGAGTGTTAGGAAGAAGATATGTTTCTTGAGTATTCGTATGGTCTGCACTAAGACTTGTCTGTTCTAAAAAAGCCCAGATTACATCCTTTGAAAAATAGCCAGTGGTCACCCCAGACGATACCCACTATTTCACCCGAGCCACTCCTGAGATTATGCAGCAATGTTGAGTCTGTCACCTTGCTCAGGGGTTTCCTCTAGTGCCTACCTGAAACTTGACTTTTTTCCTCATCTTTCCCTCCTGCCTGCTGCTCATAAATGCTGCCATCTTCTGCAACCTATTTCTTCACTTCTGCTCTTCCCTTAAAGGCCACCTACCTCAGCTCTGTATTCCTTTGGCTGTAAAACATAGTCTTTCACACATCCTTCCTGCTCTTGACATTCAGACGTGATGCTGGGTTTCTTAACTGCTCGGTCTGATGTGTGAAGGCACCAGCTCACACTGACACTCCCAGACCAGGAGACTCAAATACTCCTCACAGCACAGCTATGGCAGCACTCACCAACTGCCCGTGTCTATCAGACTTAGTAGCTGCAACCCATGCTGAACAACCCAGGCAGGCCTAGAGCTGGCTGGGATCTTCATGTGGCTGTCATCTGCCTTAGGCTAGCACACTGTATTCTGTGCCTGCACTACTCAGAGACATTATGGCTCTTGAGTCAACACAGGATTTTGCTGTATGCATGTTTCTATACTAAGTCCCAAACCCAATCCAGCCGGAACATCCAGTCACCTCTAGGTAGTTACAGCTTCTTTTCTCATTTTATTCTAAAAATCAGGACAGGCATGAAAACTTTTTGATTCTTCATGGAGCTGAGAACATACACTGCAGATGCAGACCTGGAACGTGGTTGCTCTCGTTCCCACTTGCACTCAAAGAGCTTGCAGCATTTACTTGCCTCCCCATCAGACGAAACTGAACCCCTTGCCTACAGCATCCCCGCTCAGTTTGTGGCCAAGGCCGGTTACCTGCTATCAGAGGCTGGCTGCTGGACTGCCCAAAGTGGGCACCATGGTGAAGGAAGGCACTGTAGCAAGGCGTGGACGCATCGTCTGAAAGGGCCATGTGGAAGGGCTGAAGATCAGCCTGCCCAGAGCCGACCGGCGTGGTGGGGGTGAAAGGGGTGAGAGAGGCTCCATGAGGCTCTTGCTTTATACTGAGGGGAGAGGAGAGGTTTTCTGTGGTAGGGTAAGGGATGGACACAGACAGACAAAGGGAACGGGGGAAGGAAGAGGAGGGTGGGGAAGGGAGGAGAGGAAGAACAAAATGGGTAAATGAAAATGGAGTGGTTAAAATCTACAGGGAAATTAATTTTAAAACAAAAACAAAAATAAAAAGGCTAGGAGTAGATCAGAGGAGGCAGTGCTGAGACAACAGCAGTAAATGTGCCTGGGGGCTAGGCTCAGACTGCAGGAATGCCTCTGCAGAGCAGCAGGAGATGAGGGGAATGGAGTGCAGTGGCAGAGGGGAGGAAGGGGAGGCAAGAAGAGGAGAGGTGAGGGAGGGAACATGCAGGAGAGGGAGGACAGGAACAAGCATAGGATTGGGAAGAAGAATGCTCTGAAGCTTTTGTGCTCCCTTTCCTGCTGCTTTTTCTTGTTGGCCAAGGACATATGAAGATGCTAAACCTACACAGTTTGGCCCAACGATTTGCACCACTTTTTCTCTTCAAACCCAAGATAACCTTCCTCAGGAGAGTAGTCTTGCTACAAGCATCTATTAAACAGATTGCTGGGTGTAATGGCCAAAGCTTCTCTACCAAAATTTCATAAAAGCTTCACAAAAATGGTATAGCTGGAGTTTGAGGCTAAAATACAAATGGGACTGTGCAATTAATAGGTGGATAGACTGATCAATCAATTGACCTTGTTCACAGTGGCGCATTTTGGAGATTTAACCATAAAAACAGTCAGGGCTGACTCTGATTATTCCTGGAGTGTAGTTTTGCCAGACAGATACCTTGACAGAGAGACATAGTGGAAGAGAGGAAATGTGGGGGACTTGTAAAAAGTCTAATTTTCATTGTTGTTTACATTGGGCCTCCATTTCTGATGTGCAGGTTTTCACAGGCACAATAGATTGAGCTTTGCCACTGTTCCTAACTTGGCTGCCAAGTAGGATGTTTGGGAATTGGAGAACTCTGTGACCTAAAGCATGGGTACTCCAGAACACCCACTACTGTTGGGTCAGCAGTAATAGAGTCCTGTATTTGGACACCTGAAAGCAAAGCATGGATGATGTGATCAGATCCAATTCAAATTATCTGGCAAACTGTCCATCCTCAGGTAAACAAATTCAAGCCACTAAATGAAAGCCATCTCTCTGCTGTGATGGCAACTATTGCCAATGGCCTATGAAATAAGTTAGTTCTGGTCGTTTTGATTTATATAGAGAAATAGAAACGTGACACATAATTAGGTCATAAATCTGACTTCATTAATGTAGAACTGGCTTAATTAACTTTAGGAACCTTGTTGCAAGGCTGTAGTGCTCACCTAGACAATGAAGGGCTGGGCAATTTCTCTCTGTGAATGCTGTGAATGCCTGAGATATTTGTTTCCTAAAGATTTGCTACCTGGCAAAAATGTTAGTTTGCCATCTGTGTTCTACGCCAAGTACTTCTAACATGGGTGGCCAGCAAAGGTCTCTCATCACCAAGGCTTCTTTGCAGCAAAGACATATGTTCATGTTTCAATTAATTGGGAAGGATCAGTCCTGGCCAAGAGGGATACACTTCCTCTTCACTTAGTTTAGTAAGTGAAGTCACTGGTATGCCACTGTTATGAGGATTGTAATTTCTTTTCCCTTTTTGCTGCGAAGCTCTGTTTGGCAAGGACCTGCTGTGGAGTATCTGGATTTTGGTTTAGAGTTAATTAAAGTCTCTAGAGTAGGCAGCCTATCAGCACACAGCTTTTGCCTTTTACAAGCATATACTGTCCTACTGTCCCACTACTGAGCCTTCATGTGCCATAGCCAGTCTCTGTAGATCAAGAACCTCCCAGGCTATTTTTCTGCTGCATCCTCTGTCCTCTGCAAGGCAAGGAATGCACAGATTTACTTTCAGACCAAACAGTCAGAGTCACCGCCAGCATTCTGGGAGTGCTTGAAGCCTTTATCCAAATAATGTTGATACAAGATAATTTGGATGAATAGACCTATCTGCAGGCAGAGGCCCAAAAGTTCCCTGGGCTTTCACAGGCTGTGAGTGAAGGGATATTTTTCAAGGAAGTCATTCGACAGTGATGCACAAATAAACTGGAGACACTTCAGTCCTGGGCATTTTCCATACTCCTGTTTCAACTCTATTATACAAGAGACAGCAGGTGTGGGGAGCTGCTGAAGAGGAAAGGGCAGAGAATAAGGTGGACATGGAAGCGTGGGTGGGCAGAAGCAAGAGGTGCTATGGGCAGGGGTTAATCCTGTTTGCACAGCCCCCAGGCACGTTTGGTTTCCTAGTCCCTCCCCTGCTTTATTTCTCTTTTAAAGCATGGAATTTTCAGCTATAATCCTTCCTAAACCACAGCATTTTTCAGACGCTCTGTGTAAGTGAAACCATAATCTCTGGTAAAACAGACCGCTTAAGCTGCTGTAGCATTAGGCCAATCTGATCCAGCCCCTGGATTTCCGCTCTGCCCAGCCACCACAGAGAGGATTTCAGCCTGAAAGACTGTGTAAAGCCCTTGCAATGGGAATGACAGTGCTAGGCCTTGCCTTGCAAAGCTGGGAAGGGTTAAGGGACCAGGAGCTATTTGTCCCAATGTTGTGAGGCTGTTAAAACCCCTGTCAGACTCACAGCAGAGATGAGCCCAGCCCTCTCTTGAACACATCAAGGCTTATGAAGAAAAATTCCTCGCACCTTCCAGAGCCATCGCCACTTACTCAGTGTGTGGGGGGATAAAGAAGTCAACAGTAACATGGCAAAGAGACTTGAACACAATAATGCTAAACACTCTTCTCTCTAATAGTGGAAAGGAGGCGAGGATAAGGTCAGACAGCGAATGATTGCACAACCAAAACTCAGACTTTTATGTGTCTATTTATCTGTCTGTCTTTCCCTCTACACTCTGCAACTGCACAGACATAATTTATATCCTGTGTATCTTTACTGATGGATGGCATTTACCATTTTTTTGTTCCTTTGTTGTCCAACTCTCCACTGACTAAAAGCACCTGAATTCTGTCTCTGGTATAACTCCTGCCACTGCTATGCTGGAATAATTGCCCCGGCAGTGAATTATAGCTCCAAAGCATGTCACTGTATATGAAATCAATTGATTGATCTATCTATCCACCTGTGAATGGCACAGTCTCATTTTTCATTTTAACCACCTCAAACTTCAGCTGCATCTTTTATGTTTTCAATTTTGATTTTCTCCATTCTCTAATTCTTTCATATTTATGATGGAGAATTTTCCCCTGCCAATCCCAAGTCCCAATACTGCCAGCAAGCTGTGAAGTAGTGCAATTTTGACTTGTCTGTGTTTTGTTGGGAGTGTTTCTTAGTAAGGCTCCTTCAGCGAATTCTGAGGTATATCTTTCTCCTAAGGCTGGAATACCAGCCTGTAATCAAATGGGAGGGGAGTGGAATGAGTTTGCAACCTCTTTCCCTAGCAGAAGAAATCTTTTCCTGCCCCAGTTTCCTTTATTCTTCTGAAAGGTGAACAGTATCCTTGTTTATAGGTGACAAAAAAAAAATCCCCCACTGTCATGGTGGGGGAAACTTGAAGGTCAGCAGAGTAGGGATATAGCTGGAAACATAGCAGAGGACAACATTTTGTGAATCACCTACTCCCCTCTTTCTGACTGTGTTTTCTGAGTTATGGTTGTTTTTCTTCCATGCTAACCCTCTCCTCTGTTATTTTGGTGGAGAGCAAGAACTGGTGATCTCTAGCCTAAATTCCTACTGTGAATGAAGGGATTTTGGCCAGACGGAGTGAGAGGAAGATTCACAGCTTTGGGTTCCTATGGAGACTCAGCTTTTATCATGCTCTCTCCTGCTGAAGGGAAGTGGGATGGGGGTTGGTTGCAGGACTACATAAGATGCTTGTTTTTCATTGCTGGTTTCTTGGAGGATAAGCTATGTGCATTCAGTGCTCCTTTTCTTTATACTACACAAAGATTACCAAGATGGCACATCCATGCATGAGGGATGGTTCTTACACACCCACTCAACCCTGCTTACCATCTTGACAATGTTTCCTATTCTTTGTCTTTTCCTGAGGTCTCTATCAAATATTTGTATGACTCCAGTGTCCCACCCTTTACAACACATCTCCTTACAGCATTGCTTAGGGATTACTCTTTTATCTGTGAGGAACTGAGGCCAGAGAAGAATACTCAAGTTTGTGTAGGAACCGTGTGCCAAAGCTGAATATCATCTCATGTGTTTTGAATTCTATCCTTGCACTCACCTCTGAAACATCTTTTTCTGTATTTGTGTTCTGTATTCCTTAGAAAAGTTTCATTGTGGTAAACAGAATGGGACTGGGTCCTCAGAACTCATGGAGTGGTGAGTTTACACTATTGGCAGTGGAGTTACGTCACTGTCTTCCTTGTGTTGATCTTGCCTCCAACTCCAAAAGCCATACAAAAGATCGGACAGGACTCACATAGCATATTGTGAGTCCTGTCCATATTTGCTTACTGTCATATCAGAATAACCACTTTTTCTATTCTTAGTTTTGTAGGTTTTCTATTGCAAGAGCCTTTTCAAATTGTACATAAAATACTGTCCTCTGTTTTTTCTCTTCTCTGATCATAACAAGAAGAACTTATGGGTGTGCCAAGATTAATTTGCCTCTTTTTATACCTTTCTTGTCTTCCTACTGACTGGAGAGTGTGCCTTGTCTGTTCAGGTTTTTTTTCTGTTTGTGCACATATTCATCCATGCTCTTAACAACCTTGGCTGCTTTCCCCTAAGAGTCAATGCTGTTGTGACATCACATCCCACATCAAATTTTGTAATGTATTTTCTGTATTTTTTTTCATTAAACTGAATGCTATAAATCTAGATTTTATGTCTGATCTGATCAACTGCTGATTTCCAGGTAAACTGACCTGCTAACTCTATATATTACTTTGAAGAGAAAATTTTATACCCTTCATATAGAGTAAAACATGGAGCTTCCACAGTAGACCTGTGATCTGGACTTAATCTTTGAAGCTACATGAACACTAA